CTCCGTGAACTGCTAGTCGATTCACGTAGGCTGCAGCTAATCGATACCCCTTCGAACAGTGAATTAATGGGCTATAAAGCTAAGACAAACGCGTACTGAATCACAGGTTTTTTCATTCGCGTGAAGATATCCATGCTTTATTCGAGAAATTCCACCAACTTACTAAACCTCTAGAGGAGATCCCATGGGTGACTAATTGTGTGGTCTATCACATCATCACCGACGGACTACCAGTTACTGCGAAACTTCACTAACTGGCACTGGACAAACTAACTTTCGCTAACCGTGAATTTGACAGTCTTTTTCGCAGTCCTTGGGCCTCACAACTTTACATGGTTCGCAAAAAGGATGGGATAAGTTGGCGACCATGTGGGCCACTACCGAGCATTAAATGTGGGAAAACGTTTCGATAGATATCCCATCCCCCACATCACGGCATCACTCAGGGGCACGACTATTTATTCTAAGATTAATCTGGTACGAGCATATCATCAGTTCCCAGTCGCTCTTGAGGATATCGAGGAAACTGACATCACTACTCTTTTCGGGATGTGTTAGTTCCTACGAATGCCATTTGGATTACGGAATGCTGCTCCAACTTTCCAAAGGTTTATCGATAGCACAGGAAGAGACTTTGATTTTGTTCACGTCGATATCGATAACCTGCCAGTCGCATCATCATGCATAGATTAACATTGTCAACATCTTACACTCTTATTCCAACGCCTTTCGTATAATAAAATAATAGCCAACTCAGATAAGTGTGGATTGGATAAGCCATAAATAAAATTTTTGGGTCACATCATTAAGCAAGAAGGTATTCTATCTTGTGAAGACAAAGTACGTGCAGTCCCTACTCAAAGGACCGAGGGCGTTTCTCAGTTTGGTTAAATTATATCGACGTTTTATTCCGCATGCAGTAGAACAGTTACAACCATTAACCGACTTACTACTCGGTCATTGACGTGCATTAGAATTGAATGATGCCGCATGAACTGCATTTTCAGAGATCGAAAAGGCTTTAGCTCAAGCCACGCTCCTCGTTCAACCTGACCCTTCAGTCACGCTTAGCGTATTGGTTGATTCATCAGATTTCGCTATAGGGACCGTTATGCAACAAAATATCCTCGGAAATTGGCAACCTCTCGAAATTTTCTCACGACGCCTCACTCCCGAGGAGACGAGATAAAGCTCTTTTGGTTGAACACTGCTTACAGCCTACCGTGCTATCAAACATTTCCGGCACTCAGTAGAAGGTCGCGACTTTATCCTCTTCACCGACAATAAGCCTCTAACGTATGCTCTGCATACCTAGTCAAACCGCTGCTCACCACAAGAGTGGAAATATTTGGACTATATATCTCAGTTCACGACAGATTTCCGTCACGTGAAAGGCGAGTCGAACTATGTTGCCGGTGCTCTGTCACGTGTCAGGTGAATTCAGTTACTTCAGAGGTGCCTGATCACCCAGCTATATCTGCTGCCCAAGTAAATGATCCCTTCTGTTCAGTAGCACAGCAATCGACATCCTTTCAGTGCTGAGAAGTACCCCTAGGTGCCAGCTGAGGTAATACCCTGTTTGATATTTCTACTGGCCTCTCGCGACCCATCGAACTCTTTGCTTATCGCCGTCTCGTCTTCCAAGCTCTTCATGGATTGTCTCATCCAGGTATCGCAGCTACATTACGCCTCATCGCTTCACGACACGTTTGGTCATCCATGAATAAAGATGTCTGTATATGGGTAAAGCAATGCTTACAAAGTCAACGATTAAAAGTTCACAGGCACGTAGATGCCCCCGTCGGCACATTTTGCTACGCCTGATGCTCACTTCAATCACGTTCATATTGACATTGTAGGACCATTACCACCATCGCATGAGTATGATCACATACTCACGTGCATCGATCATTTCACAAGATGGCCGGAAGCTATTCTCATCACCTCTATTACGGCGGAGTATGAATTATTCTCCTCACTAACCAGTCTGCTTGGTAGGGAGGGCAAACGCACTACCGCCTACCACCCATCCCCAAATGGTTTCATCACGAGCTTAAAAGTGCTCTTGAAGCACACAAAAACAACAATAGGTATGAAACCTAATCGCTCGTCCTCCTAGGTATCAGAAAGAGTTAAAAAAAACAGATATTCAGTGTTCCACCGCTGAACTCGTATACTACACGACACTGAATTTGCTTGGGTAATTGTTCAAACCACGGAGCAGTAATAATTTTGGTGAATCAGACTACTTCCAGTGATAGTCCACATATATGCGAAGACAACCTCCAGTATCGAATCGAATACAGCGTCGGCAGGTCGCTCTCCCTCGAGAGTTATTTACTTGTTCTTATGTTTTCATACGAGTAGATTCAGTACGCAAACCTTTGCAACAGTCTAACGAAGGACTTTTTCACGTGATTTCTCATCATGAAGGGACCATCAAGGTTGATCGACATGGCGACGTCGAGATAGTCAGCATGAATCGTCTCAGGTCAGTACAAGTCGATGAAAGTGCCCTACCTGATAATCTGAGACCTAACGCTAGACCCATCTATGCTGCTACCGGTATCCCTACATCTACTTCGAACCACACACTAGATTAATTAGACCTCATTCTCAAGTCTCAGTCAACAACACGCGTCATCTGCACCATCTACAGATGAGACTCTGGTCGCACGTCCAGATCAGCAGACTACGCCGCTCTTGGCTTCGGATGAGACTGCTGGCCCGCGAGGTATGTACGGGATTACCGTTTCACGTTTGGTCGCCTCATACGCCTAACTGTGCGCTTTTGTGACTGATATTTCGATCAACAACAGGAAACGTGCAGGACGTTTTCCTTATCCTCCATGCATGCTACATCGCTTCTTCTTTGATATTTTTATCATGAGCTTACGATCTGTTGATATTGTCAACTTGAGCCAACCTTGGCGAAAGCTGGCCTGATCATCCACTTTCTTGTCAATGCACTCAATCAATCTGTTGGTCCAGAATATGTCTGGCATACGTATTGTTTCGTTATGGTGGTTTCAGGTTCCTTCGGTTCCGTCCTAAGTTTGCAGCGTTTTCTAGTCCGAACCCCTAAGAATGCATTCTTTGGATTCACCAGTGAAAATAATTGTGGAAAAATAGGGTTTATTGCTTCGGTTAGAATTTGTCCATATATATATATATATATATATATATATATATATATATATATATATATATATATATATATATATATATATATATATAGGCATACAGAATATACTTGGACTTTCTCCTCAATAAATCAGATATAGGCAAGTTGCGAAATTTACTTTGAGAGAATTAAAATCGAAAATGCCATCAAACGGCTGCTCAACATTAGGAGCGAGTTGCTGCAAGAACATCACATTTCATTTGGAAAGGGTTTCCCATGCCGGTTATCGGATATCAGAAGAGTTTCGTGGTAACCGAAAACGTGTGTAGTTAATCGGTAAACGGTTTGGAAGAAATTATCAGTTGATTGCAAACGTGTCGCACCAGGTCCAGCTGCAGGATCCCCGAATTCCCCTGATAACCTAAGACCAGAAAAAGCATTCTTCGAATTGCTTGGTCGTTCGTTGGATATCAGGATGAGAAAGATTGTGAGGTCTTTCGACAATACTAGACGATCACCTACTCGTATGTCTCTCACAATGTAAAGTTTATCTACCTCATCTGATCTATCTGATTAGTCGTTTTATGGTTGTCGAGAATAACTCGTATGGAAGATCAATGTCTTCTTTTTGAAGCTGAGCGGGTTCAAGTAGATCAATACTTTGAATACTGTTCAGTGAAGTGATACGACGCAAAGTGTCTACTGCTACACTTTTTTCACCCGAACGACGTTGTAGCATGAGAAAGTTTCGAGATGTAGTCCAGTTGTCAGAACTCTCGGAGGAAGTATTTGTCAAATATTCATAGTTAGAGGAAAGAGTGAATTCTCGGTCATAGCACAGAGGGTTATAAGTGCCACACAGTACATTACCTACTAGAAGTTCTCAGCCGAAATTACTACGCATCAATTCAGTACCTTTCAACTGTAATGGTAAGAATGCTGTACGCATTCAAATTTTTCGGAAAATTCTCTGTTCGCAGTGTTTCGCGAGAGACTCGCAGTTCGTCATGTACTGTCTGTGTAAACTTACCGTAATGAATATCAGAAATACTTGGGCAGCAGTTCTTAAACAGAAAGATATGTTCAGAAATTCGTATAGTCCTAAAAAGAGTATTGTTAGAATTAAATTACCTTTCAAGTCAACCCTATATATGTAACACAGCAACACATTTTTAGCCCATTTAATTTAAGAAATTATTATCTAGTTTTATTCAACCATCCTATCCCTTACTCTGAAAGGAAAAATACTTTACACCCAGAGGCGAAGAAGTCGGATCACACTTTTGAGTTTTGAATGATGAGGTGAACATTCAGAAACTCTTGACATACACCCTTGAAATTGAATGAGTTTGGGTGATCTCAGAATGATCTACATCATCAACACACATGAAGCTTATTTTTATTCGAACTTTTGAATGGGGACTAGCGAATTGGCAAATCAAAATATCAGTCTAGATTGACAAACTATCTTCTTGTCACTAATGGTACTGATACCTTTAAACTTCTAACGTCTGACGTTGCGAGAACAACTTTCTCGATGTTCTTTCGGTGAAAATTTAAGTATTTCTTAATAATTCAAGATAGCACTTCAAATGAGTTTTCCTGGCAAATTTTTGTTAACGTTGATGTTTTAGACCCTAACCCTTGTTATAAGGTATCAGTAACTCATCTCTGTCAGTCACAGAAACGAATCATCCATCCTCATCTACTTGAAACATTCGGAAGCTCATTGGATGTTTCTTCTGTGCTCTCAAGATATTTTGTTCTCATTGAAACTCTTAGGGCCACTTTAAGACAACTTTCGCTACAGAAAGTACAAAGTATAAAGAACTCTCACGAGCAATGCATTTGTTTAACCAACTCGAGCTTGGCCTCGCGACATTAGAGGCGGGGGTTCGGTTGTCACCCAGATTATGGAGGTTCAGCGTAGAGGCCTGAGGTTGTTGAATAGTCACGAACACATTGAGTCAAAGAAGGTATGGGTCGTTCTAATCAATATCATGTTTTAGGTACAGCCATCAGTTGTGAAGAATCCCGGAATCATACTCGCTAAACAATATGCTAAGAAACCAGTCTCCAGCAAATCCGTTGTTAACAAAGCCGCACCGTTCATTATTTTCCAGGACCCTATTGAAATTCGCTGCCAGCACTGTGGTGCCTTGCGTTCTAAAATCGCTCAGGATCAACCTCTTAGCTTTTCCAAGGAGTGTAGAGAGATAGCTACCCAATCAGAAGACACAGACTTGGATACTTGGTTGTGTTCAGGTAACATTCTGATGAATATTCTTAAGTACCAGAGCGACCACCGGAAAAGTATTGGGAAGCTCTCGCGGAAGAGAGGCGGGTAGCTCTAAAGGAAACTTTAGATGAAAATATGGAGGTATAATCAACCCGTTAATACTTACGATTATAGCTCTGTGCACTCGTCGAAAAACTGAACCTTGAAATCGAAAGGCTAAGTGCTATCGCTTCACATGCTGATCACTTTGCTGCAGTTTATAATGTGAGTGGTTAGTTGATTAATATGAAATCTCATAACACTATGAAAGGTGCCTCTAACTGGGATACTTTTTGGATGATTGTACCATATAATCATAGCGATGTTTCTTAATAATCTTTTTATGTGCACTATATCTAGCAGGTTCATTCTTTTAGGGTCATTTATTCTCCATAATAGACTCACTTGTTTTACGGTCATCAAGTTTAGTTCTACCCGTCACTCAGTCAGAAGCGGCGTAAAGTTTGGCACATGGACGTTGATTACTATACTCCATTAGCACAGCTAGATATGGATTAATTGATAGTAATAATGACAATATAAAAGTTTAGGTTCCAAAGATAAAACTGGAGAAAATGCTAGTAAAATCGAAGGAAATCTGAGTAATTTAGTAATCTGAGAAGTTACAAACTGACGATGCTGATTGATTATTACGGGAAATTTAACCAGGCAGCCTCCGCACCATCGATGTCTCCGAAGCATCGCTCGTGTATCATGTGACAACCGTATAAGCAATGCTGTCGTTAGGAAACATGTTCTAGGTAAGGATGGCAGATCAATAGATGAAGTAGTGAAACTCCATCAGTTGAGGTGGTTGGGACATGTGTTACCAATGCCCAACCACCGACTGCCTCTACGAGCTATGTTTTGTGGTGTAGGAGTAGGTTGTGTGAAATTTAGGGGCGGCTAGACCAGAACATGGCACAAATCCATGAATTCACTGACCAGTGGACTGAGTCATGTTGGTAGGTGTAGGCTATGTTGTTGGGATCCGCGAGATGAAAGTCACCAATGGTTAGAGACCTTGAACGACATGGCTCAGAATCGTTTGCAATGGCGCAGGTGCCTCCACTCTTCGTGTTCTATGAAATTCTAAGCTTATGCATTCCTCATAATCTGTATCTTTCTGCTTCTAAATTTATCTTACTGAATTATACTTCTCGAATCATATCTTCGCTCCATAATCTTCTCCATTACTGCTAGTACTTTTATTATTGCAATAGCTCTTGGATTTGAACTGACAGTTGCGCCTCTGTGCTGATGGGGCATGGCAACCTGAACTGATGTACTTATGTACGAGGTTCTGCGTTGTATCTGTCCGGATTCGTCAGCGCCTCTACCTTTGTCCTTCTTACCTTATCTAACTGATTTATACTTCTTGAATAATATCTTCAAACCATAGTCTTCTTGATTACCAATAATACCTCTACTATTCTTTATCACTAGGATTTAATTCGACATTTGCGTCTCTGTGGTAATGTGGTTTGTCAACATGACTTTATGTACATACGTACGAAGTTCTACGTTGCAACTGACTGTAAAAGGTTATTATTGGGTCTTGTCACTAAGTGCTGATGATTGATAATTCCTAATATGTACTTGTTTGAGAGTTCTGAAAAGTATTCATTGATGTTCCTATTATCCTGTAAACATAGAGTATGCGATAAACCTGTCAAGAGTTGTACTCTGCCTTCTCTTTGGGATATTGCTAAGTATGCGTGTAACTGAACGGGACTGAAAACTGGGGTCTACGAAAGCTATCAAACTCAATCATTTGATTGTTATACTAAGTGTCAGTATTTTATGTGACCTAGAAAGTTCTCTCAATGAACTTATTTTCTGGTTTGCCTTTAACAGACGTTCAAAAATCAAGAAGCACACACTAATCACGCAACAAAACTTCGAGATTCCAGCTGTGAACCTAACCCAACGTAAACGTTTCCTATCGGACTAACAACCTTAGTGAAAAGCTTGTAACAATAGATTTTGTGATTATTTTTGTATTTGTGTATGATCTTGTGATACTAATAGATGTTATTTATGTCTTCTATTTTGTACTGGTATGCTAATAGTTCTGTGAGATTGTTTTCCTTTTTTTTTGTCCCATAAGGCATGATTATTAGAGTGCTTAAGGGATTTGACCAAGTCTGGTTTAGTTTAGTCTGAGGGCGAAGTCGTACTGCTGACTGCAGAGGGGTGTGGCACCAGTAAGGTGTTTCCTTTCGCACAACCAGCATCTGCAGCGATGCTGCCTTCTGACAAGGAAGGAAGGATTAAAAAAGGTCGACCCTAAAAATGTCACACCTCACCCTACCTCACGGATTTCCGTCTCCGGCGGTAAGGGTGGCGCAAGTGCATCCATTCTCTGAGCTCTCTCAAATCTTGATCTTCTGGATTCGTCAGCACCTCTACCTTTGACTTCTAACCTTATCTCACCTAATTATACTTGAATAATATCTTCGAACCCTATTCTTCTGCATTACCATTAATACCTCTACTATCTTTATCACTATGGGATTTGATTTGACATTTGTGTCTCTGTGGTTATGTGGTATGTCAACATGAACTTATGTACATACGTACAAAGTTCTACGTTGCAACTGACTGACTGACCGAAATACTAACTTTAGGTATGAGAAAAAGCATCTTTTGACTTGGCGACCCCCAAAATCGTTCCAACGCTGGACCCAACTAGATCATATTGCCATCAGCCACCGATGGAGAGGTTCGATAGAGGAGTGTCGCTCGTTCTAGGGCATATGTCTAGATCCGAATCATGCTCTAGTGCGAGCGCGTATCTGTTTGCGATTTACCGGACGTAGGAAAGACACCGCAAGGAGACCTAATGATAGCAGAGCTATGTATATATATCTCGATGTAGTCAATCAGATTACAAGCTTGAGATGTAGAGTGAGGACACCAACTAACATGTCGGCGATAACTGTTGTTGGTAGCTAGAAACAGGTTTTATCCTGTGCCAAATTGAAGCAGACGATCTCCGTTATTCGACCTGCAACCGACAAGTCCTCAGTTGTAGACGCTCGACCTGTGCATTCAAGTCTCCGGTTAGTTTTACTAAATCTGATAAAAATACTGCGAAGATAACTTGACTGGTGATATGACTCATTTTTGCGATACCAACGCTAGCAGGATCAGGCGAATATGCCACAGAGTTTTCGGACAGTCGCATGCAAAACAAGCCTTTTGAGTCGACAGATAGAGAGTAGATGTCTAGTGAATCACTGGAGTTTTGAGTACTGGTTTCGGACAGAACAGACATCGAAGTTCAGACTTTCTAAAGACGTAACCAACCCTATCTGATATTTAATGTTGATTGGTGTGCGAACGGTGATGGAAGCCAACTTGAATGACATACGTGTATTCAAAAAGGTCGATTTGGAATTCTCATTCGAATTTTCACCAATGTCTAGATAAAACGAAAGTCCCAACACAGGCAAGCTGCTGTGTGGGTTGTAGAATAAAGGAAAAACCAAGTGCCGCAATGTAAGATAAGAACTTATGTTCAAATAGAGGAGAATAAATTTGTAAGAGTAAAGGTTGAGGCGAGCGTAAAGTTTTACAGTTATAATCACCATCCAGTTTATGTGTGAGCTATGATACTGCTAGGTGCTCCAACCGAAGCAGACGGTTTTCTTTAGGAGCCACTCACTGAGACTGACTCAAATCTGATCCACAAGGCAGTGGAGCAACACATGGAGAGGCAGTCCCACTAACAACAAGTTCAACCTCATTTGTTCCATCAAGATCCTGGAACCAGTGTGCAACACTGGTTTGAGATCAGAGTTTTCCAACACTCCTAAGTAAATCGTCAGTATCCCCTTACCTGGTTATAGCACCAGACGTCCCCGAAAGTCCTAAACAGCGTCCCCCACCACGATTCAGATCGTGTTCTGTCGCGAGCGAGTATTTGTTTGCGCCTTACTGGACGCAAGGAAACCTCGTAGGGCTCTACTTAATGATAATAAAGCTAAGTATATATTTCACGAACAAGTAGAAAAACATTTAAGCAGCCATGTAGTAAATGATGCCCGCCCTGAGGCAGCTTGGGATGATATCAAAAAAGCTGTGGAAACAGCAGTGATATCTGCTATCAAGGTAAACCATAAGGCTAGGATGAAGCCGTGGATTTCAGTCGCATTCACCGAACTGATGGATTCTCAAAACCTCATCTCACTTGGCTCTGAACATGGCGGGGAACGAAGACAGCTTCAGCGCAGGCTGATAAAAAGCCTGCGCAACGACCATGAACAGTGGTGGGTGGCGAAAGCATGAGCGATGGAAAAGGCAGCAGCGATAGGCAACACTAGACAACTTTTCCGCCTTATCAAAGAAACCGGTATTAGGAACCCAAATGTGAGTGAGACTATCTCAGAGAAGGATGGCTTTATCATTTATTCTCAATCCAGGAGATTGTACCGATGGGCAGAACACTTTAGGGACCAGTTCAACTGATCGTCAGCCACACTTCGGTTGCCCACGATCCCCAGTTATCTTGAATGGCCAGTCCATTTAAGTTCTCCCAGTCTACATGAAGTTGAGAAAGCTATAGGAAATCTGAAACGAGGTAGAGCAGCAAGTCCTGATAGGCTTACCCGTGAGATGTCTAAGGATGGTGGTCCAGTTTTAACAGTTAGACTGACCGATATCCTAGGTAGAATCTGGGACCTGGACGTAGTCCCATCTGACTGATCTCAGTCGCTGATTGTCTCAATCTACAAGAAAGGACAAAGGTCCTCTTGTGACAATCACAGGGGAATAAGTCTAGCTAATATAGTTTCTGGATTGTTAGCGTCGATTATACTTAGACGCCTTACTAGTGCTCGTGAAGAGCAGACTCGAGGAAACCAGGCTGGTTTTCGACCTGGACGTGGCTGTATATACCACATCACATTACGACTGGTCCTGGAACACAGACACACATTTAGACGTCCGACAATAGTTGTTTTCCTGGACCTTAAGGCGGCATTTGACTCAGTGGATCGTGAGGTTCTGTGGCAGTTTCTGTCATTGAAAGGTGTACCAAAGATGTACATTAACCTTATACAAGCACTATACTCGAACACTACTGGTCGAGTGAGAGCTTATGACGAACTGTCATCTGAATTTTCTACATCAAGTGGTGTCCGTCTCTCCATTCTTGTTTAACTTTGTCGCAGACATCCTCTTATAGTTAACATTAAGCTCGTCAGAAATTACGGGGGTTGACCTTCTACCAGGAAAATCGCTTACTGATCTAGAATATGCCGATGATATAGTTCTATTCGGTGAAGACGCTGACAAAATGCAGTCCTCTGACTACCCTAAGCAACAATGAAAGCATGTTCGGGGTGCGGCTTTCCCCGTCGAAATGCAAAATGTTGCTTCAAGACTGGGTTCAATCGGCACCTGAACTAGTGATAGGGAGTGAAGTAGTCGAACGTGTAGACTGCTTCACTTATCTTGGGAGTCTCATCAGTGCTGATAGCCTGGTGACTGACGAAATCTCAGCTCGGATACAGAAGGTCGATTGGCTTTTGCCAATTTACGCCGTTTATGGCGTAGGCGAGATATCCCTTTGCTAACCAAAGATCGAGTGTACTGTGCAGCAGTTCGCTCTGTCTCGTATATGGATGCGAAACATGGCCGTTAAGAGTAGAAGATATTCTTAGGTTACTGGTATTCAATCACAGAAGCGTTGCTCGTGTATCGTGGGACACTCCAGTAAGCGACGCTGTCGTTAGGAAACGAGTACTCAGTCAGTCAGTCAGTCAGTTTCAACGTAGAACTTCGTACTTATGTACATAGGTTCATGTTGCCATAACACATTAGCACAGAGACGGAAACGAGTACTAGGTAAGGATGGCAGATCAATAGATGAAGTAGTGAAACTCCATCAGTTGAGGTGGTTGGGACATGTGTTACCAATGCCCAACCACCGACTGCCTCTACGAGCTATGTTTTGTGGTGTAGGAGTAGGTTGTGTGAAATTTAGGGGCGGCTAGACCAAAACATGGCACAAATCCATGAATTCACTGACCAGTGGACTGAGTCATGTTGGTAGGTGTAGGCTATGTTGTTGGGATCCGCGAGACGAAAGTCACCAATGGTTAGAGACCTTGAACGACATGGCTCAGAATCGTTTGCAATGGCGCAAGTGCATTCATTCATTGTGCTCTCTCAAATCCTAATCTTCTGGATTCGTCAGCACATCTACTACTGTCTTTCTAAACTTATCTCACTGATTTATACTTCTTGAATAATATCTTCAAACCATAGTCTTCTTGATTACCATTAATACGCCTACTATCTCCATCACTTTGGGATTTGATTTGACAATTGTGTCTCTGTGCTTATGTGGTATGGCAACCTGAACTGATGTACTTACGTACGAAGTTCTACGTTTCAACTGACTGACTGAGTGGTAAATGAAAGATGTTATATCTGGCATGATTCTGCATCGGTCGACGTTGGTGCATTAGGAGCTACACTATTTTCATAGAAATGCTAGGTATTAAATGTCAATGTAGATGAAAGGAAGGAATGGATTTAGGCATGTCACCCTTTATATCCATTTAGAGGTTGTAAATGCGGTGCAGGTTCTAACTAGGAAGTCTGCTTGTCTTTATATGGTTTAGGCGAGCGTTCAGAGATGTCATGTGGTAATAATACTTATTCATTTGTCCTCATCTTTCTTTTCAGACTTCACCAGCCGCTATTGAATATCCGAGCTGGTAGCGGCTAAACGTATGTCGCTCATACCACTCGCTTAGGAGGGTTGATGGTCTCCAACTAATCTGCACTCTCACTCTACGCGTGGCCTATATATTTGTCAGCTAGAGTCCCACCATATGCGGGCAGTGTTCTGACATTTTCGGTAAAGCAACCTATTCATATATTCTTATTCTACAGACCGAGTTTTGTATTCAAAAGAGACAGGATGTTGTGCAGTGTACTTGGTCTTTGTTCGTTCCATAAGACAATCAGTATTCCAGTGTCCGTACCGAAAACCAGTTAGCCATCAAACTTGGGTGGCTGATGAGACTGTCAAGTTAAGTAGTCAACACACTCGACTACTTCATTCCGTATAATCAATCTGGGTCCTGACAAACTGATTATAAAGATAGTTTTCGTTTGTAGATAGAGCAACACCGTAAGTTCGGATTGGATTGGTTTCGTTTAAGTATAAAGTCCAGTAGGTTGATATACTTTTTCGGTACGCTTCATGATAGAGATTTGGGTTCTATTCTGTGTCTATGAATAAAATATAATCTGACCATAATTACAACAACTGGCTACTACTACTACCTCTTCATCACCCAAACTAACTAGACTCCGTGTTCAGCCGTTTGAATTCCTTAAGTTCATCTAGATGCCTGGTGTTCAGAAGGCTTTTGACAGAACCCGTCCTTGATTTCACTATAGTGGGATTTGGGTTTACGAATGGTTGATAATATGTCCTACTGTACTCTGGAGTTGTAATTATTCAATCTAGCTGAACAGCATACAGGTAACTCAACCGGGATCCAGTCAAAGAGTGGTCGTTCTAATTTTGCTACCATCAAGGTTATGTGTGCTTGCCCTACATTCTCTATATACACGGCGGATAAGGTATACTGTTTCTTTACTTTGATCATTTGATGCGAATTTCATCATCATCATGCGCAACGACAAACCGGACATGTAGACTCGTATATGGGTAGTCTAGACTTATTAACATGACTCAGTCCAGTCGTAAATGTCTTCATGGATTGATGCATGAACTTCACATTATATATTAAGTAATATCATTAATTAGTCACTCAAGATTGCTGTATTCTACTAGTTAAAATATTTATTACGCAGAATAACTTGATATAACTAGAAATTTTATGAATCGTGTAATGCTTGTTGATAAAATTTGACGGTTTAAAATGCAGTAAGATTTTTGAACCTCAATTTACGTACCTCTGTTTAATATTTCACTAGCTCTCAAGCAAATAATGTAGCTCTAAGTTGGGGGTTTCATTTGCTTTCTAAGTTAGTGTTGTTTATTACTTAAACCATAGTAATATTTATCTAAAACGGTGACTGATCAATACAGTCGGAACTATTATTTTATACTTAGTCAAAATCATGTCAACAAACATGAATGTATTTACATTTTTAGTCATTTTATTCAAAATTAAAATGACCAAAGTGTAATTTTGAAGAAAATAGAGACTGAAAAACGTCGGACTAAGAGTAAAACATCCCATTCTTTTGATTTGAATTGTTTTAAACAAAACTTCAATTTCGATGTACACAATAAAATTACATCCATTTGTTAAGATCCCGGATGGTTGTGAATCCAGTGAAAATCAAGCGTGATCATACGATATAATAATATTACTGCCTAATGATATTTTGGCTTTCTTCGAGACTTTTTTTTGATAGAATAATCCTGGTGTTGTTGTTGGCTTGAAGGTAGTTCTCGACTGTTTAGTAGTTTAGCATTGTTCGTGTTACTACTATTAGGGTTATTAAAGTAGTTTAATCCAGATTCACTAGATTTACTTCGTGTATTTATAGATTTATTTATTTGTAATAGTGATGAATCTTTGATGTTGTCATTACCATTAATACTGTCATTTTCAGCATGGTATTTAGTTCTGTAATGATTCAGTCCACTTGTTGATTCATATCTATTTGATTTGATTTTTGTTTGATTGAATTCATAATCTGATTCATTTATATTAACTTCTATGTCTTCGTTACTTAGTTCATCATCTTGTTGAATAGTTTGTTGCCAATAGTTTGCCAGAAAACTTTTTCGTCTAGCCGCATGACTATCAGTTTTTATTTGTCTAGAATCAACGTTCTCTGCTTTTGAGTCCTTTTTATTTTTATGATATGTCTTTGATTGTAATGGAGTATCTGTAATGCAGATGTTCATTGTCTGTATTCTTCCAACATCATCATTGTAATCATCATCACATATATCGCTTGTATTCTCATCACTACTATCGATAACTGGCCCTAATGAAGGTTTAAGCAACTGTGGATCAATGATATTAGTATCACTGCCACGTGTACTTTTAAAAAGATAATCTTTACCCTTAAAATTTTTCATTTCCGACTTAATTAATGATTTCGGTAATGATCTGTCATCCGTATGTTCTTCATCTGATATTGATTGTGTTTGGTTTACCGAAGTTCTTCTTTTACAAATACAATTAATATCTTCACAATTATGTCCTTCATCTAAAAAGAGTGGTTCTTGAAAATGATTTGTTAAATTGTAATCGGAATTATAAATTCCTATTGATGGTTTACTGATTGAGTTATTTGTATTGATTTGATGTTGCATTTTGTATTTATAATTATTATCAACCAGTTGATGCATAGAATTCCATCCATTTTGTAAACTTCTCATATCAATCTGTGAACAACACGTTACACGTATTTGTGATTGATAGTGACAATTTAAATGACCATCTTCATGTTTATGATTATTGTTATTACTATTATTATTATTATTAATCAATAATAAAGGTGAACGTGGTGGTGTCAGACTTTGTTGTGTTGGCTTAAAATAAGTTTGTGACAGATACCTAGTATTTGGTTTAACACTAGCATTATTTCTGTCAAAATACAAATTTTGTAAGTTATTCAATCCATCTGGTGGAATATATGTATCGGCTGACTTATGTCGATTATATTTTAAAGTAAAATGTTGATGAGGCAATGAATTTAGACAATTAGGTTCAACTAAATTGGTTGACATTAGTTTATCCGATTGATTGTTGTTATATTGAATTTTTTTTGTATGGTTTTGTGAATCAGTAATATCTTGATGATGTTTATCAATTGGGTTATTTGATATAACAGAAATATTATTATTGTTTTCTGTATGATTCAAATAGAACTCTTCCAAATCGCTTGTGATATTTAACATTGAAGGTTGAACACTTGATATATCGTCGTCCATCATTGAAGCACGTCGTGATGCTGGACTAAATATCAAATCTGGCGGTATAAGCTTTTCTAATTGTTTGGTTTTACAGTTCTGTACAGATGAAGGATGTAGTACAGTGTTGTCAGTATAGTTAGTAGTACTATTGGATATCAAGTCATAAGAGGACAGCATATCATTATTTAATTTCGATTTCATTTCTTTCAATATGAATACAGAATTATTACTAATTGCTGAACCACGTCTTGATGAGGACGTTGAATGTGTCTTTGGAAGATTGTCTCTCACTTTTAATAAAACTGTAGTATTCCTTACAAAGTCCGGTAGTAACTGTTGATATTGTGCGTTAGGATTTAACTCAGAACTATGTACTTTACGTGTAACTAGTTGTGTGTTATATGGCCATGGTGATAAATTTATACGCGATTGTTGTAAGCTTTTAATATTTCTACTATCATTAATTGTTTCTGTTAATGAAATAAGATTTCTTGGGGATTCTGTAGCAGAATGAGCATGATCTTGTGAAATGAAAAATTTATGCTTATATTGATTTTGTGAATGTTGACGTTGTTGTTGTTTTTGTCCTGCTGTAAGTTGTACTGGTTCATGAGAATCAAGTGAACTACGGAAAAATTGTTTATGATTTAATGAATCCGGTGTTAAACTTGATGAATCAAATGCTGATGTTAAGGATAATGTTGGTCCACTAAGAAAACCACCCCACTGAACAGGAAATGAACAAGTTGAATGTTGTAATGATCGACTGTAAATAGCTGGTAGTTTACGAATCGCAGCTTGTTTCGATAATGGACTACGTTTTTGTGGACTGGATGATGAATATTGATTAGTCGGTGTAGAATAAACAATTTCCATACTATGTGATTGTCTACTTTGCCAAGCATCTAGTGGTTTTAAATGTCGTGAGTATCGTCTTTCTCCGTACATGCCGTGATGCGGTTGATGAGATGCGCTACAGTCCATAGATAATGATGGATCTAATATATTAGAATATTTTGACCCACGTCTATACAATTCCTCATTTGCATGTTGACTAGTATTATTTAAATCAATCGATGTTTGGGGAGATTTTTTGAAATTTAATAATCTACGTATTGATTGTGATGTATTAGTTGTGCTCATTGTTGCAGATATAATTTCATTTCTATTTTCATCTGATAGAGTATGTGTTAAACGATATTTCTCTGGTAAAGATCTAACATTTGGCGATCGAGACAATTTCAACCTTTCACTGAAACTATGTCTTTGATTGGTTTTTATTGTACTTGATAATCTTCCTGTATTCCGACTTGTAGCATTTACATAATAAGATAAAATATTGTTATTGATATTATCTGTACTATACACAACTGCTTTATTATTATCAACATTGGAATGGTTATACCGATATCTATATTCTTCTTTTATCTTATCTGATTCTTTGAATGAATTGGCACGTTCTCGTGATACGTGAGTTATTTGTAGACGATCGTTATTTTGGATTAATGGTAATGCATGATTAGTGTAATCATTAGGTATTTGATTATTATTATCAATACTACTAGTCTTGATAGCAGTAAAATTATTATCATAAGTAAAAGAGGATTTTTGAATGAATTTAAGATTTTTGTTGTTTACATCAGACATTGGATTAATACTATTTCGCTGGTACGATTTATCTTGATCGGATAAGGATAAATTTACTCTTTCATCAGTCCTATCAGTTATGTTATGATTAATGATTTCTGGCTGTTTCTCAAACATGGATTCATAATAGTATGGTGAATATCCATCTATACTGTCTCTGGTAATATATGGAGGTTTGATTTGTGGACTCTCTGTTGATATGTTCAAACTCATACTGAATGGTTTCTCCATAGATCGTTGACCATAACTCGTTGTAAATTCATCACGATAACGTGAAATCGGTCCATCGAAACTATGTGGTTGTGGTGTAACTGTTTCTGGTGGTTCCCTTTGTGCTTCACCACTGCTTACATGAGACATATGACTTCTTCTTATTCTGTATTTTATTTAAAAAGAAAACAATAAGATTTTAAATAACTAATCAGTACATGTCCAAGTGTTGTAGTGTTAAGCATAAGAAAGTGGATGAAACTACAGATACTTGATTAAATGTCCTCAACTCTTAAACATTAGACTTTTCAAGGGTATGTAAATAAAATGCTGATAAACGGCATTAGGCATAAGATCTGTGTTTAATATTTCTGATTAAGTGTTGTTAAACTTCCAGCCAATAGCTGCTACCTTGACGTGGTGGTTGGGCTTGCCTGTCATCATGACTTAACCGAGCTATATTGTCTGGAAAATGTGTTCCTGAAGGTTCTGTCGCGCCAGGCAGCTCGAATGGAGAACAGTAATGTTAAAGCATCAACTCACGTTCTGAGGGCAAAGTTGTACTGCTGACTGCAGAGGGGTGTGACAGCAGTAAGGTGTTTCCCTCGAGCAACCGGCATCTTTAACGATGCTGCCTTCTCACAAGAAAGGAAGGGTTAGAAAAGGTCGAACCTAAAAATGTTACCCTACATCATCGATTTCCGTCTTCGGTGGTAAGACCATTCGAAGAGCGGAGGTAACACGTTAAAAAAAGACCATGTGCGACCGGCCTCAAGGAGTTGTCCTTAAGGCTCTGCTGTTACGCTCCCAGGTTTCTAAGACCAACACTAATCTACCTTCCTTTCAAGTTCCTCGAGAAGTACCCTTTTACTGTGTGGGCAGCACTGATAGGATGGGAATCAGAGGGACCCAGGATCACAAATACATCCTTCAAGACAACCTTGAAGCAGCATCTACGGAACTCAGAAACGATGTAGGCCCACCAACAATTAAATAAATCAGCGTGGCCAAAAGACAAATTTAGAGTGGTAAAGCGGCAGGAACAGACAGCTTACTGGCAGAGACATTGAAATCAGACATAGCAGTAACTGCAAAGCTACTTCAAGCTCTCTTCACTAAAATTTGCGGGGTAGAGCAATAAGTAACAGACTGGAAATACAACCTATTCAATATACTAGAGAAAGACAATCACAGAAAGTGAGGCACCACTCCTTTCTCCGTGGACACCCAACTTCGAGATCAACAGGCTGGATTTCATAAGGATCGACCATGTACCAATCGAATTGCAACATTACGGATCATTGTGGAACTCACCACTCCACATCAACCTCATCGACTACGACAACGCTATCTAGGCTTGTGCGACACTACGGCGTGTCTGAGAAGATAGTCAACATCATGCGGAATTCTTATGATGGATTAAACTGCAAAATTGTGCACGGACAGACTCGTTCGAAGTGAAGACCGGTGTCAGGCAAGGTTGTTTAGTCTCACCACTTCTCTTTCTCCTGGTGATCGACTGGATTATGAAGACGTCAACATCTAGAGGAAAGCACGGTATACAGTGGACAGACAGGATGCAGCTGGACTTCACAGATGATCTAACTCCTATATCGCACACGCAACAACAAATGCAAGAGAAGACGATCAATGTAGCAGCAGCCTCAGCAGCAGCAGATGTCAACATACAACAACACAATACAACATGTGCCAACAGAATCACTCTTGATGGAGATGCGTTGGAGGACGTAAAAACCTATACATATTTAGGCAGCATCATTGAAGCTAGCAAGGTGGATCTGACGCAGATGTGAAGGCATGGATCAGCAAGGCAAGGGGTGAATTTCTACAACTGAAGAACCTTGGAACTCAAAACAACTGTCAATCAACAGCGAAATCAGAATTTTCAATACAAATTTCAAGATAGTTCTACTGTATGGAGCGGAAACTTTGAGAACTGCGAAAGGCATCATCCAGAAGATACGAGTAATTATTATCATTTGTATACGCAAAATACTTCGAATTCGTTGGTCAGAAACCATCAGGAGTAGCTTACTGTGGGAGAGAACAAACCAGATTCTAGGGGAGGAGGAAATGAGGAAGAAGCGGTGAAAGTGGATAGGACAAACACATTGCGGAAAGCACCCAACTGCGTCGGAAGACAAGCCCTCACTTGGAACCCTCGAGGTTGAAGGAAAAGTGAACGGCCAAGGAACACACTACGTAGAGAAATTGAGACTGACGTGCGAAAAATGAACAAAATTTGGACGGAACTGGAAAGGGAAGCGCAGGACAGAGTAGACTAATGAATGCTGGTCGGTGGCCTATTCTGTATTGTGGTTGATAGGCGAAGGTAAGTAAGTAAATTATGTACCACCATCGCATAAACGGGTTCGCCTAATCATGATATATGTAAATAAAGGGAAGATTTATTTCATAGCATAGTCAATCGGTTGTCCAAACTGTAGTCAGACCATGGATTACTAAAATCGTCAACATCACACGAAATTCTTACTATGGACCACACTAATAATTCGTGCTTGAAAGAAAGCTCACAGACCCCTTCCAACTGAGGAAACGTGTCAAGGAACACACTACGTAAAGAAATTGTGACAGACATGAGAAGAATGAACAACAATCTGACACAACTGTAGATTCACAGCTTGGTTTCAATCTGAACGATTATCATAAGCAGTAAGTAAAGACGTGTAATGTCATGTCTCAGAATTGGTTGCGGTGACACTGGTGTATCCTTGATCTGCCTTCTTTTAGGCCCTAAGTTTATTACATGTATTCGTATTTCTTTTCGAGTTGTATCATTTTTACTTCTAGTTTTCTACTATCATCATTATTATTCATAATTCCAGTACCGTGACATCTCGTTGTGCTGATGTATTATGACAGTTTGAACAAATGTACAAATATACGACGTTCTCTAGTAAGGATGATGTGATGTGCTTTTCGAAAGGCATCTGGTGGTCTAAATCATACAAAGGAAAATGCATAGGTTATACAACCTCAAGACTAATTTGTTGTTAAGTTTGTCCCACGCTCATAATTACTAAGCCCTTAAATATTAAGAACGGATTTTATTTTATTGTGAGGTTGATTACTTCTGGATTTTCGGATACTCACAAAATGATTGTTATAATTTGAATTCTCTATCAATCACTTGATAAGTCACTATTAATTCGTTCATCATCTAATGACCAAAAAATTAAACATGAATAATTTCACAGATAGAAAAATTTGGGGTTTTTTGGAAGGCTCTTTTCCAAGTGAACGAAGCTAGGATAAAATAGAATTATAATATGAAATGTATTCATCCCATTTTTAGACTTCTTATCAGCTTTAAATAATCATAAGACAATCTGTAACAGACTTTCGATAATGAAGTTTTCAATTTCGTGTGAAACTTTTTACTGATTTAGGATTCATCTGACTTTTTAGTATTTAAACACAAATTGTTGGGTGTGGTAATGTGAATTTTGACTAGACATTGTTTATATTTGACAAGACGACCATAGAGTATTTCCAAAATATTCTTTGACTGAGCTAGAATTTTTTAATCAACTAGTGAAATATACATAAAGCTGTAAGTCAATAAATTGAGTTGTTAAAAAGGATATCCAAAAGGATTTATTATGAAATACGAAGAAGTATCCTGAAGATCAGAAATGATCAATTTAAAGAGTTGACTTTTAAGAAAGAATCGGAGCTGCAACCGATGCTCAGGTGGTTTCATTGAATTACATCAATTACTCAATTAGTTATTTTGAAGTAGATCAATATTGTTATGATTGAGAGAAGACTATCTACAGGGTTTTTGCGAAATAAGTTCCTGGAAACCTGTTTAAAAAAACACCCAAATTTTGACAAAGGAAGTGGCTGGTAAATTCATGGATATTGAACACAATATAGACATCTCTAAACGATTGAAAATAATTAATAAACATCTGATCATATTGCTCATTGTTCTTTCAGCCTGCTTCTAGCTAATGAAATGTTTCGGTATAAAATGCATTTCTTTCATCTCTACAAATCGTTTTGTTCTTGTTTGGTTTTAAGCTATCATACGTAATTTTCTAGATGAAAGAATTCCTACTTTAATTTTTTAAATTACACTAAAAAATTTATACTTTCACGAAAATTGCTGATTATTAAGACTTATAAGTTTGTCTGTTATGAATGATAGTTAATTTTCATAAATATTATTCTTATTAACGTCTAATGATCATACAGTTTGTTTGAAAAAAGGAATACTGTTTCACTATTATCATATCTTGACATGATATTAATTCATGATGAATCATGTGATTATTGTTTAAAATTACAAACGTTGTTGTTTTTATGGATTACATAAAGAATCGATCAAGTACTGTAACATCATGATCGAACAAACTCCATTTGCAGTAGACAAATAGACAACAAATCCAGCTGCTTTCTCCTAACACCCTGTGTTTCACTGTGAATTATAACTTAGCTAAAATGCAATTTTCGAGATACATTTTTTTGGTTTATGTTGATTGATTTGGAAGGACAACTAACCACCTGATAGGACTGTGAAGGATAAGTAGGAGTATGAGAAAAATATAAACTTAAAAGAGATTTCTATTTCACTGACCAACAGCCCAAAATGTCGATCTCTACTTTAGTCATTTCTTGTCACACTGTCACTGTAAGTCTGAGTGAGGATTCGTCATATATTGTAAATATGTGCTTACCTAACCTAAATTATAACTGATAAGTTAACCGACTGAAATGTTACGTAACATTTTGAATGGAACTACTTGATTACTTCAAGATACATATGCGTATAAAAATAAAATTGTAATGTTAGTTATTCTTTGTCGCAAAAAAATTGGTCTTTAATAACAACAAGGAATAGTGAGTGGCCAATTTAACAAAACAGTCAAAGGAAATTCAGTAGTCTGATGAATATAAAAAACATAGGAGAGAAAAAATTTTGATCACAAATGATGATGTTATCTAGAAATACAAAAAAATCTTCGTAACTGTGCCATAAATACAATACATAAATGTATTCTTTTACAATAGTGGTATAGATTCTATTGGGAAATTTTCATGCTTTCATAGTTTTAAATGATGAAACGTACGTAAACTATATGATATAAAATAAATGTAAAAACTTACAGAGTTTTTCCTTGTATTGTTCTAGTCACAGCTTCTTTTAACCATGATTCTAAATGTTTTTTCACTGGTTCTTGATCATATGGTAAATCGTTAAGTGTACAAAATAAGCCGGAATCTATTAAAGTATCATTAGTGTAATTTTCATTTATTTGATTCGGTGAATATAATTTTGTCTGAAAATGAGAGTGTTCTTTATTCATTTTTTTATTCTTTATTATTTTATTACAATCATTTTGCGAACTTGAACTGGTTCTTCGAGCTTTTACTCTTCTAAACTGAATGCAATATTGATTTTCTAGAAGTTTCGAAAATAAACACATCTGTTTATGTATTTGTAACGTTTAAAATATTGTAAGAAATACAAATAAGGTTGTCTAAAGCAAACATTGTAAATAATTTGAATTTATATGCCTACAATAAATTCATCAAGGGATAATGATGATAATTTATTTTATTACAATCACTGAATTACATTGACTTTTTTACGTAGAGAAAGTCGTAGAGATCTCTGCTTTGCTTCATTCCTAATGTATACATTCATTTTCTGAATTCAAATGCGCATTTCTTATCATAATTACATGGACAACATCTATCTTATTATATAGTGTAATATTTGTGGTGGTGGTGTTTGGTTCTCTGAGCTGGGTGTTTTGGTTGTGGAGCTTTCCTTGTTCTTCTGAACAACATCATCAGCACAAACTTCAGATAGAAGTGAAGCATTCGAATTTCTCCATGTTTGACCTGTAGCTTGTTTTGCTAACCTCGATCTTGATTGGTTGCTGTTTTGTAATATTCTGTTATTATCATTTTTGTTATTATCTCAATTAACCAGATAAAATATTTCATATAAGGCATTTTATTCATGTTAGTTATTTTTATCTCATATTGATTGTGACTCGACACCCTACAATCAGTTTTTCTACTCGTTTTTAAGTGATCATAGTATGTAAATGAAAATTTTGAAGTATTTAAGCCTTAAGAGCTGTGAAGTTCACTATCTGATCATTTAACAATGTCTAATACACATGTATGCGTCATAATTATAAAGCTTGATGATGAGGTTATTCAAAACACTTGTTCATCACAATATTCTTTATTTTCGAACACTCAACGGAAATTTTGAAATTGCTGAAATACTAGCTCTTTGAAAACCGACAGTTTAAATTTTGTTACAACCACTTAGTTTTCATCTTGAGGCATTTTAGAGTATTTTCTACATAACAAATAAAATATTTCATTCGGATTTATAAATTAAAAAAACTATACTGTCACAATTATTATTTATAATCATATTTTACTTACCTGGCAAATCACAGTGATTTATATTTTTATGAGTGTTACTATCATTGTAGATTCGTGTAGAGTTAGACAGAAGTGACTTATGCTGATCATTCATAGTATAATCATTCGACAATTCATCGAATGTATCATAAATTAAATTGGCTGAACGAATCATATGGGCTCGACGATTTATTGGTCTGATCATATTATCTGTTAAATGAATACCAGATGATTTATTCATGTACTGTTCATCTTTTATCGTTTGTAAATTCTGGTGGGATTTTATTTTTGTTGAAGAATAACCGTAGACGATTGGTGTGATTATGTTTGATCTAGTAGTTTCATTAATTGATAATGAAGATTTCGATAAAAACGCATTTGCTCCTTGTAGTCGATTACTATGTGGACAATCCATATATAATCTGTAATTTTGAGCAGGTAATACAGATGATTTTGTTTGAGTAGTTGTTAATCTAGCTTGTCGTAAACGTAGATTACTAGTTTCAGATGAAGAACTGTAAGTTAATCTGTAAAAGAATAAGAAATTGAAAATTGGATGTAACGCTATTTAGAAGTGTGTATACGCTTACACGGAAGGGTGAAGCTACTAGTTACATCTAGTTAGTTTCAAAAGACACGATGCATGAGATTCAAGGTTTTGCAATTAGTCATCAATAAATATAATTTGAAATGTATCAGTAGTAATTTGAAAGTATTCATCTTAGAAGTTTACCAGAAGTGAATGATCTCATTGTTAAAATTATCATTTATTGCAGTTAATTTGGTCTTTCCAATACCAGTAACTATGATTGATTAATGATTTCAAATGTGTAAAAACACAAACCTCCAAAACTCTGCCCGAAAAAAAAATTTTTATAAGCCTTAAGAAAAGAGAACTAATTATGTTCTATATTTGATATGTTACAAATATCATTATATTCTTGATTAAGTGAATTTTTCAAAAAAAAGAGTTACATAGTCATACATTTTATTCGATAAATCATGTTCATTAGTTTCGCTGAATTTAATATGATTATAAATGACTGAAAAAGATCATAAACCATGTTTATAGTCAGTTCCAACCAGTTACAATTTTTAATGACGAAATTGATCCATACAACTAAAGGTTCTAACTAAATATGTTTGTATTTACATAAAGAAAAAGTGCTTTGTATAAATAATCCAACCGCAGAGTTGAAACATGTTTATTCTTTTAGATATTTCAACTTGTACATGTACAAATACGAAGTAAATATTATTAAGAAGATCTCTTTTAAATATTCAACAAAGTGTCGAATTTCATATGATAAATGTTTTGGTATTATCTTTGACGTGAACACAAGTAAATTTTAACTGAAAATTAAAACAAACCAAATTGTGTATAGTTATCTATTATTTAATAATGTACATTCAAAAAGGATATTAGCTGATAGGTAAGAATATTATGCTACAAACAATTTTTTCGTAGTTATCTTTATTTTTTTCAAATGTTAAGCAAAATAAAGTTTATCTCATTCAATAGTACACCTTTTTTAAATATATTTAGATGGAACTCTCAATGATCAGTCTAGTTGAAGATGAATTTTTTTCTTTTGACTGAACAGATTTTAAATGATTATATCAGTCAGTATAGAGCTTTTTCATTACTTTATGATAAAAAACAAGACATCGTTCTTAGCCTATCAAAATATAAAGGATTTTATTAGTGGCATAGTGTCGTTGTTTACCAGTTATTTGATCTAAGTTAGTCAATTCGCTTTTGTTGTTAAACGAATCATTACTTCTTAGCCTCGACTTTAAATTACAATACAGCGAATAATTTTTGATAAGATCCATTACACAGAGATAAGTAAAATAATCACAGAACTCTCACCGTTTAGCGAAATGGTTGTTTGTTAAAGTTGAAGAACTGATGGTTTCGGGTTTGCTTTCGGATCGAGTTATTTAGAGAAATATCCGTAAAGCGGAAACTAGTAGTCTAACAATGATTGATTGATGATTTCAATGTTTAGAAACACTAATCTCCATAACTTTATTTGAAAAAATTATAAAATTATAGTTCATTGTACTTTAGTTTTCAGTAGTCCTACAATCAAATTTACTTTAAGATTTATTACTCATTTTACCTGTATTTTATCGAACCGTTTTTAAACGTGAAAACTTTTTTTTCATGAATAGTATTGCAAAAATAACGCCTACTTATAAAATTAAAATTTTATAGTCATTGGTTAATTTTAGTCATTTAGGTTTTTCAACAGGAAACATTACAGTGAAACAATAAGTCGAATTATTGTTTAATATCCTTCTATCATCTAGTCATGAGTTCTTCCAGTAAATACTTGTTGTTGTTAATTTGTGTAGTTTATATTATTAACCCAACAGGAAATAGGTCTACTTCAAAAATGTCGATGAAAACGTCTACATGTTGTGTGACTTCAATAAATATTTATCAAAATATCATAAATAAATTTAATTTTAGAATTATATGCTAACTAACAACACATGAATTAATTGCATGTAAAATAGGTTTCATTAAATAATGATTTTATTGAAGATACTAAAAATGAATTTTCCGACAAACATTTCTATCTGTTATCTTATTTTTATTGTTATTAATTATTGTTCATATTATAAACTTATTTATAAATTTGAAGAGAAATATGAATAAATTTTGGCAATGCTAGTTTTTTTAATCATAGATTAGGTGAGATCTACAGTATAGATGAAAGATCACATTAGCATGAATTAAACATTTGTCTGTTCTTCATTAATTTTTATATAGTTCAATCTGTTGTGGAAAAACTTATCTTCATAAAAAAAATATTATTGATATTATTATGTATATTTTGACTTCTGGTGATAAAACTAGTTAAATACGTAAATTATTTTGATCTATTTTTAAATAAAAGTAGATTATTAGGTTTAATTCTTGATTTCAATCAACTCTGTTATTAATATGCACGTAATTAATGTTTAGTACTTTTAAATAATGTACTAATCAAACATAAACGTTTCTTATAATGTGTACAATATTCTTATCTCAACATAGTACATTTTATAATTTTGTTTCCATAATTTTATAGGTTAAAATTGTTATTTTTAGCTAATCATGAGAAAAGCAGAATATTGTTGAAGTTGCTACAAGCCATTGAGATAAAAGTCAAAGTCGTGCCAGTAGCACCACTATCAGTGATAGTTAAAAAAAAGAATATAAATGAAGTGTACGTTTATAGGTGAATAGATGAATTCTTGAAATGAAATGTGCGGAACGATTTTCTACCATGGAATCTAACGTTGACCTAAGAAGTTATATATCTGGACTACTATGACCAATTTTGAGTTGTTACCCAATATCCACGTATCAATGATGATTGCAACTCATGATTTTATCACATCGCCTACAGTTACAATAAAACAGTCAAAGACTTTATAGACTGTGCAATATCCTGAATAAAGCATTGGTATTTTCCTTCTGATATACTTGTCTAATTTTAATTGGCGATTGAGTAGACGGTGCTTCGTAATGCACAGTACATGTCCCGACAGATTCGTTCGATGAAGATTCACAGTCACTTGGTCTTCATATGTATTTTATATTATTAAATTTAGTTTGGAATGAATATATAACATGACAAAACAGTCTAATGTAAAGGAAAACTTATTATATCTAATTATGATATACGCATGTATGAATATTGTACGCATCATGTCATTTTGAGCTAGTCGGTAGGAAGTGAACAGATACATTAAACTCAGAAACGCTCCATGATAATTCGTGTATATGATTTTAGAAAGTTACTTTTTATAAATTGCACATTTAATGATCTTCAGATTTTGATGCAAAAGTTAAACAATTAAACCGAAAATTGAATTTATGGATCATATTTACAGTATTAATTAATCACAAAGAAACGTGATTGTTGTTCAAAATGTAACATAGTGCAATTAGTAATTAGATTCATCTGTCTACTCAAATATACTTACTTACTGATACATAATCTTCACTCATGTAATACATATATGTTAACAGATGTTTTTACATTTTATGTTGTATTACATTACATTACGAGTGAAATTACAATAAAAGTATAATCCATAAAGCAAATAAAATTACCTGTCTTTAAAATTCATTTCTGGTTCTGTAAATTCTGTAAATCCATTAGATTTTTGTCTTTGTAATGGTCTACGTTTGAATCCAGTATTCGAAACATTATTATTATTATTATTGTTCTCATAGCTATTGTTAGTAATATCTGAAGAACTGAAAGCACTCATTGACATTTTTGTCATTGAATTAACGCGTTGAATGGAACTATGTTTACCAACTTTTTTACCATCATTTTCTTTATATGACGATGTATGAGATTTGTAAGTACACACACTGACGTTTTTATTAGCTGGTCGAAAGTTTAATGCTGTTGACATGGATGTATGAGGCCGATATCGTCTTGAAGGTCTAGATGTATGAAGATTAGGAAAGTAATTTGATAAATGGAAAAATAAACGTCGTAACCATGGATAGCATACATGTTCTTCAACTGTTGTTTTACCACGATTAAGCTGACGTTTAATACGTTCTTTAGTAATAGATACATCACAACTACATATCCAACTAGAATACCTTCTATGCCTCGATGCCTTTGGTTGAATTAATTCTTCTGCAATGAATGATGATTGATGAGTTTTTAGTATTTCAAATTTACTGAAAATATTTTTAAAAAATGAAAAACATAAAAGTTTATCAACCGTTTGAATGAATTAAAGTCAATGGACTGAAAGTTATTCGTCCATAGAATGGTCTTAAATTAACCCGTAAAGTTTATTCTAATATTATTATTTAGTCTCAGACAATTCGGTATTTATTCTGTTGATCAATAATAGACTAAAACCCTATGTTTTAAGGAAAAGTCATCTCGAAGCTTTAAAAATTCAACATTTAACTTCAAAGAATGTCAGTATGTAACAAAGAAACAGCACCAGTGGAAGACAGTTGTAAAACCAAAGAATTTGCTAATTTATGTTAAGCTGAAGATTTCCTCTAACCGTTTCGATACTTAATATATCTGTCCATATACACTTTAGAAAAGAAATAATTACAAGCATTTTGGGTAGTAAAGTGAGGAACAGCTGCTCAACGATACTTTTTACATTAAATACGTGCGTATAGTTAAAAGAAATATTGTGAGTATAATGACGAGTCATATCTATTTGTAGTTCAAATTATATTAAATTTTGTCAGTATAGAACTAATTGTACTTACCTGCAGTTATCCTAACTTTTGTTACTATTAACATTTTATGGTAAAGTATGAAACAGTGATTGGTGTAATCAGGATTAATAGTAGACTTTAACCAATAACTACTACTTGAGCATGAAATTGATGACACTGAGAGTTAATGACGTATACATTACTAACACAGATCAATTTAAGCTTCGTTTAAATCCCAGTAACACTTTTAACTGAATATCATATAGAAAATGTGTTTTCTAAAGTTTCCACTTCCAAATTTCTAATAAAATTTATCAAATACATTATATATATATATATATATATATAATATCTTCATTATTGTTTTTGTTTTGTTGGAATTTATTAGAGGTTGAGGTTGTATAGAAAGTTAAATAATTAATTTCATTGCATAACAGGAATGAAATATCTTTTTACTGTCCATGTCATGTAGTATAAATAACTATTCAAAGTTGTATACAAACAAGCTCATTCTTTTAATAAATTTAAACAAAGCAAAACAATACAAATAACTTTTTATTCGGCAAATGTTGTTGTTTATTCTTCGTTCATAAAGTTGCAATTATCGTTTATTTAATCAACTTGCATAATGTATATTTACTGACTTACTTATCCGCCTATGTGATTATGAAATGAAAAACTAAATTTAGATTACAGAGAAAAAAATAACAGTAGTAATATAACCATAGAACTCGTGAATCTATTTCAAATTATTCATTTAAACAAAATTATATCGTAGTCAGTAGCAAAAATTTATCATTGAAATTGAATTATTTTTATTATTGTTGTAGACTATGTGTATTGTTGCATGTATCAATGCAATAAATAAAGAAATAATAATTTTCTGTTTCATTTCATTGAATTCTGACTAATTGATTGTATTTTAAATAATAATATAATTATATAATTTTTTTGGAATATGAATATTTCAAACATTAGTTAATTTTTGCAAATAAATTTATTCAAGTCAAACATAACAGTTTAGTGATATGAACTGAAATTATCAACATCAAAGAAATTAAATTAAAATGTTCGAAGAAATGGAATTCGATGAAAAGATTAATTTTTGATAATGGAATAAAAGAGACTAATCACTTCGGTCTTTCATATGGCAAATTGACACTGTTCACGTCGTCAAGACTGAAGAGGATGTATTATTCGATGTTGTGTTTTCACAGTTTGCACAGTTCATTTCATAGATGATATTCAGTATTTCTCATTTTTGTCATTTAAGGACAAAATGACATGAATATCAATTAGCTGTCAAACGCCATAACGTTTCTCTTCTTACATCAAAACATGAGGACTACTGTAGACATACATTCGATTAGAACAATCTTGAAATACTGGCTAGAGGGAAAATAAAGAACACTAGAGAATGTTTAGAAGCTTAGCACACAGGTCGATAGACAATCTACACACGAATCGACAGTGACCCAGTTTATCAACCAATCAGAAAAATTATAGACAAACGTTAGATCAAGAAACAGATCGAAGAGGGATACTTTCAAAATAAAGAGGTGGACAATGACAGGTTTATATATATTGGCCTCAATATATTGTTTGCCGTGATGCTTGTAAGCTAAGATTAATGAGGCTTCAAAGTAGAGATACTTGATTACTTATCGCTTTTAATTTTCACGTAAGTATACAGATCTTGATACGCAGCAGCAGTGCAAATAAAAAAAGTGTATGCTTAGATGGAAATTTTTGTGAAAATTTATCCAATAAATTGAAACTTCTCATGTAAATATTATGCTATCGCATATTAGCAAAAAGAGTGGTAGAAAAAGGAAGTATTTCTTTCTAAACAGTTTTGAAGAGTACTTAGTTGTGTCTACACAAGTTGATCAATATTTAATGTTGTTAATAAATGAACGATTTGGAATATGTTGGACCGAACTTAGTGCTAGTATCCCATTTTTTGGATATCTTGTTAAAAAGAAGACCAAATGCGACATTCAAACTAAGCATATATGAGCACTTAACGTCAATTAGTAAATATACTCAGACACAAAGTAAACCTAGCAAAGAGTTAAACACATTTTGTGAATGGTACTCTCTTCGATTATGCCACTGAAGAATAAGTAAGTACCATCCACAACTTACTTAATATGAATGCTTATCGATCAAATTTATTAATAAAAATATGTATCGGAGTAGGATTAGGTCACAGATAGCTACAGTTCCTAAAAAGTCAATATTCTTGCAGTTACAATTCTTAAACTGCACTTGAAGATTAAATGACATAAAAACCTCGACAAAAAATTTATTGCAGCAAAACTATTTACTCTTTTTTTATAAAAAACCGATTATTAGAACCAAGAATAGCAATGGATACCCCCGAGTTCCCTTCATCTATGTGCGTTTATCACTTCGTCTGGTTTTGTGAAGTCAGTTATATCAAGCTCACGATTAGATAAGTTTATCATCTCATTTCCAGACATCATCACGCATAACTCAGTAAAGAACAAGTAAAGGTAGTTACGAGCTCACTTAAATAATGTAGAAAATCAAGTTGAAATAAACAACTCGTCCACTAGGTCCCGTCAACTAACAAGTGACTTTTGAAAGAACATTTTTTCCCTAATTTTTCTTAGTTTAATTTCTACCATCATTTTGCTGATTATTTGTAACACTTTCTTCTGTGACTTGGCTTCTTATCAAAAATGTGATCGACTGAGCTATTTTTGGTATAGGATTTTGTTAAGATTATAGAATTTAAATTAGAAACAAATCTTAGGGAAAGCGTTCGATGCCTAGATCCTGTGTTTGATGCCCAAATGTGTTGTCGTTAATATGTACTGCTGAGGAGTTCTATATTAGGACTACATAATTGTCTAGTTCTTCCCGGAGTTCATCGATTTTCTGAGACATGTTCATATTGCAGTTATGTGAATTTATGTTTCGTAAGATTCATACATAAAACGTATAAATCTTGGCAACATCAAGCATTAGCCTTCGAAATATCTAACTTTTCTTTAGGTTGAGTAAAAGCTACAGGATAATATTACATGTTACAAATAATCTTAGAAGTAATTCCGTTGTTATATCGATCGGTGAATCTCACTTATTCTCTTCCGGAACTTCATCAATATTTCGAATAACTGAAGTGTCGAATCGATCCAGATTACCGCCCATTTATTGAATATCTGAATAGAAAATAAACATAAAAGCTCATTTATTGTGTGAAATATATTTATTGTATTTTGAAAGAATATATATCATAGTTTGTAGTAAGACCAATCATATTATTCTCCTTTTCAACCTTTCGTGAAAAAAACAGGAAGAAGGAAACAATTAAATTTTTGGTTAATCGTGTTAAACACTCTATTCTATACATGTGGCGAAATTATTCATTAATCTGGTGGATTTATACAAAAAAAAACTGTTCTTTATTGATGCATGTGTCTGTATTTGTTTTAGGCATGGTTTTTAAACTGAAAGAAACTGAGCGATTATTTGTTCGTTGATCTTTTCTCAAAAAACCAATTCCGGTATCCTAAACATTAGATTTTCTATTTGGTTCTTCAAAGTATATATATTCGTCAAGTCATCTGATATTAGGTTTACTTAAATAGTTTTTTGTGCGTTTATTTGAAACTTTAGTTGAATTTGTATAAATTTGTGCAGCGATTTGATAATGATAATGTCACGAAATGTGATAATGAAAATAGAAAAAATGAAATTATATTTGTGAAAAATTTCAGTAAATAAAGTAAAATAGATTTAATGTTTTTACTGGACAACTCGATCGGAATATAATGAAGTAAATATCACAATTTCGACTATATTACTAGAGAAGACTAAACAAGACTGTAAAATAAATCCACGGAGTTAATTTATTTCATTCATTGATAAAAATTAGAAAATTATAATTTTATTTAGTCTGTTGGTTTACGTTTTTTATTTTATGAATAAAATTGAATTATTTTTTAGAATGGTGTTGTGAAAATATTTGAATTTCACTAATATCATGTAGCATTCCCAGTTGGCATAACATGCATGCATGTAATCGAAGATTTTGGGATTGCTTCTCTTTTACGAGATTGTGGGTGCAGACTTATCAGTAGTTCTACAGCATGAGAAAATAACTATTCAGTACTTCAAGTTTTTAATGCCTGTATAACTTCTATCATGATTTCGATAAAAGTAAATTTTTGCAGTTTAAATCAAGAACTGATCGTTGCAACAAATCCGTTTGTATAAACCATTTTTTATAGGAAAAATACTAATCAGTTATATCTTGTACATTACAGGAATTCAAAAGTTTATTTAGTAAAGCACTCAGTTATTTTTAAATTATTCGTAATTTGATGAGAAATGGCTGGAAATTATGGCAAGTAAATTATGAATAAAATGATTTTACTGAGAGTTAACAAATAACCGTTCAGAAATAATCCCTGCAATCCACGTGCCTTGTATTTCATTCGGACTACTCAAAATACGATTACTTAGAATCCCAATCAGGATTATATTTTTAAAGCTTAAGTCTTTTAATGAGCAGGACACTATTGACCAGCTGCTTCTAACGCATGTCACTTCACTGCCTTGTGAATTAGATCTGCATGGGAAAGGATGCGATAGTAAAGTTCTTAGAAAACCCTTTGAAGCGCATTGACATCTAGGCAGTATCTTAATACACTTAAAATTTCAGTAATTTGTGCGACGCATAAATACTAAGGTGCTCTTTCATACCATTGATTATGTGTTTAGATAAATTAAAATAAAAGTTACCTCTCCAACATTGGTCATTATGGTTTGGCCTTCAGATTCACTTGAAGGCTACTGATCAAACATTGTGAAAATCTTAATTCTAAAGTAGGTCACACTTAACCTCTACTGCTAGATGGAAATGTATATGTGTTACACCAAGGAAAACACCAATATGTTTGACTCAAATTAATAGTCGTATCAAGGCAGCAACTATGTCTAAGTGCTGCGTATTTATAAAGAGATTCATACGCACTTACCATGTCTTAAAAACCAGCTATTATGTTGATCGAATTACCAGTTTTTATCGTAATTCTGGTACAAGTTTTATGGAATAAAATAACTCCGGTCTGTTTCAAGGTTTTTCATTCATTAAAGACAGTCGATAATTTCAAGAAATGATCATAAACATGGGTTTTACATAACCTTATTAACAAAACTGAAATGAATGCTTGGAAGTAAGCAAAATATCAAAATAATAGGCCAGGGACTAAATATATTTCTAAATTTAGCAGTTTGTTCTGGTTCACATAAAATACCCATCCAATGGCACTCAATGAAAAAATTGATTTTGGTACTTGAGATATCGACTAGTAAAGCAACCTCTGTTTTAATCATACCTATTAGTAATTACAAATATCTCCTTAGGATAGATTCTGTTCGGACGCAATGGCTTCCAATATACTTTAGGATATCTATCAGACTGAATATCTCCTTCCCAACTTTGTATCAGAACATTTATACACTAAACTATATGAGTATCGATCACAGGCATCTTTTTCTACTCCGTTTTACCCTAAATCTCTTACTCGATAGTGTTGTCGAATCAAATATTTTACTGCGCATATTATAGTATTGTAACTGTGCGTTGAGAAATCTTGAAATAATTAAATCGTTCATATTTTCACATCAGGAAGTTAATAATCTATTTAGTTTCTTGTTAATCATTTGTTTATCCAGTTACATTTTTCTACATGTACCAATAATGACAGTGTTCTCGTCAAAATTAATTATATATATATATTTATATATATATAAACAGTCAGGTGTTTCCAATTTCTTCAATAACAAATAGTGTGCATTTGTTAGCAATCTGTATACATCAGAAAATACAAGAAAATACTCAACTAAACAAATTTATTTCTAAACAGATGTCACATTAATTAATAACGCAAAATATAAATAAATAATTACTTAAACAAATTCGTTTTGTGACAGATTTCAATTAACATTTATTGACTATTTGTAAAACTTCTACTTTGTGCTTAAAAAATTTCATTTAGTTAATTTTTTACTATTTGGGTGAACTTTAAATCAATGTATGATTGTGAGTGAATCAGTCGATCATGTAAATTTCAGGGAGTCATTTTACTGAGTGGAAATAAGATTACGAAAATATAATACACTATTGGTTAACTAAAATGGCTGCATTTAGGCTAAAAAAATTAAATTTTGTAATCTTACTACCATATTTTACATAACGGGGTTGTGAAGGTTGTTAACCATGAAACCATGAATCGATCAATGTTAGACCACCATTAGAAACCAAGAGGCACTGAGCAGTCGTTTCTTCCTGGTGATGGGACTCACCCGCAGGGCGCACCCACGACTCCTGCACCCCGCATACCCATACCAGGACGAAACGGTCGTCCAGCGCTTCCAGGTTTCTAATGGTGGGGTTTCATAAATGTGTAACTTAACAATCTTGACAACCCCGTAATGCTAATTACCTTGTGATCACTAGTGACTAGCTCCGTGAGGAATCGTCTCCGAGTTCTAGTGGGAAGTCGTGACCAGTGAAGTTCAACCTGTTCGGGTGTAGACAGTAACTACTGAAGACTGTGTGTGAGGTTGCGTAACTCCGTGAGTTGATCAAGTTAGACATTAACACCGTTAGATACCGGCTCAGTGGTTCAGATGTTAGGCGTTCGCGCACAATACTGAAGGTCCTGGGTTCGAATCCTGAGGGGTGCAGGAGTCTGATGAGTCCCAAACCGGAAGGAGATGGTCGTCTAGTGCTCGCAGGTTTCTAATGGTGGTCTAACATTGATCGATTGAAGGTTTCATAGATATGTACCATGCTTTAGTCTTGTCCATCGATTATTTGCAATTCATTTCAAAAATGTTTGCAGATGATAGAGATTTGTAATTCAGCTGAATGATTCCGGTGGAGTTTTATTGTTTTACGTAGAGAATGAAACTCCACCAAAATTAAAAAATTATTACATGCTTATACGATTATAGGTAATGAGCAAGAAAAACACTGAATCTAGATTCAAAGCTGAAACTCATTAACACTCTATAGAGTTTGTAACTGTGGTTCATAATATAACCATCAAAGTTGTGAACCTTGAGCTGTTCAGTCATTGCCTGAAATCACGCGGGACTGAGATGCTGATATTATTTAATCGGTTTGCAATAACTAACATCAAGTTGTCATCTGTTTCCCGTTGTTGATCATTTTTATGTAACAAGTCAGATAAATAAAATACTAGATGCTAAATCAGCACTCACAATGAGATATGAAGTAATAATCATACAGTGCTTTATGCACACGAAAAGGTTTTGCATTCTCTGCAGGGTTTAACATCTTTATAGATAAACCTGTATTTAATTCACTGACGTAAGCGATCATTGAAAAGTTCAACTGTTGTATGTTAATTGAAAGTAATTATTAATTAAATGATTTTTGCATAAACTTCTGATTGTTTATAAGTTAATTCTACATCAAACAAGTATCATGTGTCGATAGTGTATATTTTGTACTGAATATACTTGATTGTAGCCAAAAATGCAGTACAGAATAGAGAGATGATTTTAATAATAATAGAAAACAATTTTGGAAATTCAGCTTTTCGGTAATGTATAGATTGACAATGTCTCATGGTCTTGAAATTAGGTGTCAGTATAATAAAAATGATCGACCAACCATCGACTGAAATGATGAGTGTTAGGGTTGATATATTTTCATGTCTAATGAAAAATCTATTTTAATCTATCATTGTATAGAAAGTCTTATTTTTTCCCTACGTTTTAATTTATCATTTTTCTCTCTCCAGATCAAAGGAATTTATTTTGGAAAAAAAACATTAGTCCACAATAATGTCGTTAATATTTTGGAATATGATTAGTGAAGGAACCTAGGAAAATTGTTTCATTTTGTTTTGCTTCTTTAGGTAGTGAATTTCACATTTTGATGTTACTTCACTGAATAATACTCGGCCATAGTAATGATGACTCTGAACAACAAAAAGGCACAACCACAATCGAAATCTTTCGCTGAAAACTGCTGAGTGAATATGTCTTGTATAAGAAGAGGGCATTTGTCATAAAAACGTAAAGAGATAATTAAGTTCAGCAAGTAATGCATAACTGTCTCTTTCCACTGTGAAACCTTTCAATAATACGTATCCACGTCTGTATATAAA